GTAGCCGTTACCCGAGCCACGCCAATGGCTGCGAAACCAGGAGAAAACCTCAGGCAGGAGAATACGGGAGAAGCTTTGCTCGCCGTTGCCAAGGCGACTCGTCGTGAGCTGGATAAACGCTGGCTCATCGCTGCTGTGGTTTTATTGCTTTTCGGCATTTTGAGTGGAACCAAACAAACACCCGGGGGTGAAAAGAAGTGGGAGAAAGGTGAAGGGAAAGGACAAACCGGCGCTGGCACTTGAAAGCAAACGGCGCTCGCGTGGGCAGAAGGGGCTGCCTGGGTTTCTGTCCCCAACCTGTGCCCTGGCCCTGCGCACCCCTGGGCCGTAGCTGGCTGCCAGTAACGCCCTTCCCAAATGACAGCGTTTGATCCTAATGATTTATGCACAAGAAAGGACCTGGAATAAAGTGAGGAGCGTGACGAGTCTGGTGGGAAAGGCTTTCCAGTATTGGTGTGACTTTACTTAAGGTTATTTAACCTACCCCATTTCTCTCTCGCCTTTTGCAGGGCTGGGGCGGAGCAGGGGGTAGGGGTTGTGGCTTCATCAGATTGAGAGTTTTCTATTCTACTCTCTTGTTCTAGACTTTCAGGTAGGGCAGTGTCCAGCAAGGCGCCATTACCCAGCAAGCTGACGACTGGCCAAGGCTCTTGCTGTATCTAATCCTTGCTCTGCCGGCCTGGGGAGGGCTGGGGGCTGGGGTGGCAGCTCCGGGGGTTTCCCGTGGGGCAGGGGGGTTCCTGCCTGCCTGGGGACCCTGCGGAGGCTCAGGCCAGCAGAGGGCAAAGCTGCTACGCGCTGTCCTGCAAAGCTTAGGGCGGCTTTGCATCCAGTGCGTTTGCCTATGCCTTACACGCTGGCTGATCATATAGGTGAAGCTGTATACATGATTTTGGGGCAGGGGGGCGGAAAAGTCCCCTGTGTTCGCAGGTGCTGGGGTGCAGAGTGCCCAGGCACTAGCTGTGAGCCCTGGCGCTCATCTGCTGCCTGCAGTGGACCGGGACAACACTTCTCTAGTGTGTTAAGGAGAGATTTTCATCAAGCTGGGAAAAAACTTTTCCGAGGGCAGCTAAAACTCCTTGCGTCTGGGTTGAACGCCCCTGCCCACCCCAGGCAGCCAAGCTATCCACAGAGCAATGCGGGCAGTTTGGCACTGAATTACCCTTCGCAGTCAGTAACAGACCAGATAAACGCAGAAGCTTCATGGACGCGGGGATCTCGGCTGACTGGTGGTGGGAGCATACGTCGCGGTACATGGGATGCAGGTTACGCGCATTCTTCCCTGGTGTCGAAAGCAAAAGAGCGTAATTAATACAAAAGCAGGAACCTCCCTGCCCCCTTGTCTTTGCAGAGGGAGCGTGTTCCAGTTCTCCCACCCTCCGGATGTTGCACGGAACGGACATGGTTGAATACCTTTTGCCTCCGTGCTTTATGCAGTTTTCTCATTTGGTTTGGGTTTTTTCCCCACTGTGGCTGGTATTTCTGCTTGCCTGCCTTTCCCCTACATGCTACGTGCCCAAATGTGGTTTCATTATGAAAAGTGGCTTTTTGTTACCTGGAGGTTTACCATAGTAGTTGTTTGGTGAGCATTTTGGGAGTACAGCCGCTCCCTCGGACCTCGCCCATCAGACCTGCTGCCTCAGTAGATAACTTCTTGTAAGATTTAGTCTAGAAGACCTCTTCCATGTGCCCAAAGACAAGGTGCTTGACCTCTTGGCTCCTCCGTTCAGTGGCACTAATAAAACCTTGGTTCAGAAAAGGCCTATGCCGTCTAGTCTGAACTCCGCACTTGCCAAGAAGAGCCTTATCCGAAAACTAAAAGCCCGGAACGTTCTCCTTTATGGCAAGTAATATATATTGTTTATTCTTGTATAAAAATAAATTTGATCTTATTGCAAGGTAACTTACAAGGTGGGGGTTTTCTCTCACCGATTATAGGCTCAAGTCTGTCTTCATGGTGGCTTTTACCTGGTGTAGCCTCAAGAAAATGCGGTGTTTTTTCAGTGCAGACAGGTGGTTCTTCTGGGGTGCATTAAGAGGAGCATGGCCAGCAGGGCGAGGGAGGTTCTCCTCCCCCTCTACTCTGCCCTGGTGAGACCCCACCTGGAGCACTGGGTCCAGTTCTGGGCTCCCTGGTTCAAGAAGGATGAGAAACTCCTGGAGAGAGTCCAGAGGAGAGCAACAAGGATGATAAAGGGACTGGAGGATCTCCCCTAGGAGGAAAGGCTGAGAGAGTTGGGCTTGTTCAGCCTGGAGAAGAGAAGACTGAGAGGGGACCTCATCGATACATACAAATATCTTAAGGGCGGAAGTCACGAGGACGGAGCCAGACTCTTTGCAGTGGTGCCCAGCGACAGGACAAGGGGCAATGGGCACAAACTGA